GTGGCATCAGCCTGGCTCACAGCAACCTCAATCTCCGGGGCTCAGCGATCCTACTGCCTCAGCCTCCCGAGTAGCTGGGACTACAGGCATGCGCCACCATGCCCGGCTAATTTTTTGTATATATATTTTTAGTTGGCCAATTAATTTATTTCTATTTTTGGTAGAGATGGGGTCTCGCTCAGGCTGGTTTTGAACTCCTGACCTTGAGCAATCCGCCCGCCTCGGCCTCCCAAAGTGCTAGGATTACAGGCGTGAGCCACCGCGCCCGGCCATCATTATTTTATATGTCACAATGAAAGAATAAAACTACTGACAAACTGTGACGCAAATAATTCTTATTACTCAGAATTTTTAGATTATAAATTATTGGGAAAAAGCACCATTTTCAACTAGCATATATGTGGATATTTGTTTCATATCACTTCTATGATTACCTGAGATGGAAAAAATAAGTAAAATATATTAACAAAGGTATTTGTAAATTTCTCTTATTCAGATCAAACTTCTGAATCACTTTTCAATTCATCTTGTCCACACCTTCCTCCTCCTCCTCATCATCAAATGCCTTGGCAATGCTGCATTTCTTGTTAGATTCCTCACAAGAAATCAGAGTGGGTATTAGTGGATGGAGTCAGGCAGTTGGTGTCCAGCTATCTCATAGGAAGGTTGCACAAAGCTCATATCTGGATTGACCACATTAAGGAACTGGGAAGAGGCAGAGAACTGGAAACTGTCAAAGTCAACTAAACCTTGCTTCTGTTACAAGCAAGTTAAACCTATATTCAAAATGGTTGCTAAGGCAATATACAATTACAGAATTGTGAAATTTCATAATCTTTGAGATTATCTTTCCAAAAAAATTGATAGCCCTCTGCAAGTTTTGATGCTGATAACATCCAAAATGTGGAACACAGGTTTTATATCAAGTTTATTCATACATACATGAGGACAAACACATAATGACTGCCTCACGGCTGATGGTGACTTTACAGTATCATTTCTAAGATGCATCTCTATTTGAAAGATGTAAAAATATGCACTCTAGCATTAGTGAAATACACTATTTTTCTTCCTCTGACTGTATATATTGCAGTGTAAAATAACGGTGGTTCATCTACTCTATTCCAGACTGTTTTGGAGGAAACATGCTTAAGTATAATTTCATATAAGTTGTTCAACTCCACTTAACTTCCACCTGGCCAGTAGAGACACTAGAGCTATTAGGGGACTATGGGAATTCCTAATTTATATGTGGTATTGAATCTTTATGGTTGTATATTGCCTCAGCACATATTTTCCTATGGGACAGCTAGACAAAACCTTGGCTCCATCCACGAATCCCACTCCCCATGTGTACTGTGCAGATATACCACAGTGACCACCTCTCACTCACAGCATGACTCTGTGGAACTCATAGTTGCTTGCTCAAAACTGACCAGTCATACCCATGAGAAACCTACCTGGTAATACTCCAGACCTCAATAAAGACTTTGGGCCACAGGTTCCTCCCTCTTTTTTTGTTTTCCCCTCACCTGCTGGTTGTGGGTGTGTGTCTAGGACATTTCACTCCTTCCTATCTGCCCTCAGAGGCATGCCGGTCTCTTCTCTCTGGGATCTGTAAGTAACATGCCATTTCTGTTATTTTATATGTTTTGTCAAGTTGCCTTCTATATGTCCCATTGATCATCACCTCAGAGCAAACTTCTTTCCTCTCAGGCCTCCCCTAGACAGTGGCTATCATGGTAGAAAAAAGAGAAACTGGACAGAGGTCAGAAAAGAGTCACAAGGATATCTTGTCTGATCTATAAACACTGTTTTCTTGTGAAGGAATGACTAGTCACAGGTCAGACACTTGGCATTAGGTCACACACCAGGATAAAGAAGTATCCTTTGATTGAAAACACTATGACTACCTCCCCTGGAGCTCCACCAGAGCAGGGCTAGAGTTTGTAGCCTCTCTCCAGAGAGATATCTTAAGACCAAACTATAAATAAAAATACAACAAATATAGAGAGGTGATTTTATAAAAAATCTTCAATATTCCATTGAGAAGGAAGATAAAAATGGCATAGTTTATTGATTGTTTGCATGGGAGTCGTAACTCTCTAAAGATTTAGAAAAAAGCTATACATTGAGAATTTATGCTCTAATCTTAGAAATATGAGCAATGCTCCCTGTATGCAGCATTCCAAATCTAATTATTCAATCCATAACAATAGTATGTCTATATTTTTCTTCCCATTAGTCCTTCTAATCACATGAATGGTTATCATACAAATCACTTTATGATCGACCAATATAAAAGCAGATGGGCCGGGCGCGGTGGCTCACGCCTGTAATCCTAGCTCTCTGGGAGGCCGAGGCGGGCGGATTGCTCAAGGTCAGGAGTTCGAAACCAGCCTGAGCAAGAGCGAGACCCCGTCTCTACTATAAATAGAAAGAAATTAATTGGCCAACTGATATGTATATAAAAAAAAAAATTAGTCGGCATGGTGGCGCATGCCTGTAGTCCCAGCTACTTGGGAGGCTGAGGCAGAAGGATCGCTCGAGCCCAGGAGTTTGAGGTTGCTGTGAGCTAGCCTGACGCCACGGCACTCACTCTAGCCTGGGCAACAAAGCGAGACTCTGTCTCAAAAAAAAAAAAAAAAAAAAAAAAAAAAGCAGATGTATTATTCTTGCCATAAAAATCTCACATAACATATCATCCTAAAAGGCTCAGTTCTTTACCCAGGATTAGAAACAAGACTGCACACTATCCACTTCTATTCACCATAAAACTAGAGGTTGTAGCCAGGGAAATTAGGACAGAGTAATCAATGTAAAACCACGAGATTGGAAAGGAAGGAGTCAAACTATTCCTACCCACAAATACACAATCTTGTTATACAGAAAATGCTAGGATATTCACTAATATACAATTCATAAAAAACAGGTTAAGCAAGATTGCAGTATACAAAAATCAATAGCATTTCTATACACTAGCAAGTAGCACTCTACAAATGAAAATAAGATAATTACATTTAATCCACCATCAAAAAGGAAAAATAAATTTAATAAGATACATGTAAAATATGTACACTGTAAACTATAAAGTGTATTTAAGATTTAAAGTCCTAGATAAATGGGGGAAATCTCATCTTCACTGATCAGAAGGCTCAATATTGCTAAGATTATAATACTTTTAAAATGAATCCGTAAGTTCAATGTAATTTACCTGTTTAAAAAAATCATCAAAATACAAGCTGCTTTATTTTTTGCAATAATTTATAAGCTGATTCTTTTCTTTTTCCTTTTTATTTTTTATTTATTTGTTTATTTATTTATTTTTGAGACAGGGCCTCACTCTGCCACCCAGGCTAGAATGCACTGGTGCAATCATAGCTCACTACAGCCTCAAACTCCTGGGTTCAAGCAATGTTCCTGCCTCAGCCTCCAGAGTATCTGGTACTATAGGCACGTACCACTACGCCCACTAGTGTTTGTTTTTTTAAAAAAATTGTTGAGACAGGTTCTTGCCATGTTGCCCAGTCTACTCTCAAACTCCTCACCTCAAATGATACTCCCTCCACGGCCTCCCAAAGTGCTGGGATTATAGGCATGAGCTACTGCACCTGTCCTGATTCCAAAATTTATGTGGAAATGCAAGAGATTCAAAATAGCCAAAACAATCTAGAAAAAGAAAAAGTAGGAGTACTTAATTTATGCTTCCTGATTTCTAAAGTTATTACAAAGTGATAGTAATCAAGACAGTGTGGCATTGGTTAGTATAAAGATAGACATACAGATTAATGGAATGGAATTGAGTGCCCTGGAATTAACCCTTACATATATGGTTAACAGCACTATCAATCAACTGTATATAATTAATATCTATTGACAATTTCACCCCAAAATTACAGAAAACACATTCTTCATAAGGCCACATCAACCATTCACCACAACAGTCCATATTTTTGGCCATAAAATCCAACCAAACAAATGTAAAATAATAGATATTTACAATACCCGCTCTCCGACCATAATGGTATTAAACTAGAAATCAATATCAGAATGGTAACTGAAAATCACAAATTACTTGGTGATTAAATGCATTTAAAATAACACATAGGTTAAAAATATTAAGAAATATTAACAAATATTTTGAACCAAATAAAAATGCATCTCACCAGAAAATGTGAAATGGGACGAAAGCAGAGATTAAAGGGAATTTCAGGCACTGATGCATCTGTTAGGAAAGAAGAAACATCTAAAATAAAAATGAATCAAAGTGTCAACTGCAGGACATTTAAAGGAGGAGGAAATCACAATTGAGCAGATGAAAAAAAAAATATGGTAAAAAGAGTAAAAGCAAAATAGAAGATAAAACAATAGCATTTTTCAAATTAATGTTGATATTTAATAGTTTCCGGAACACAGAAGATTAACAAGGACCACACAACACCTCAAACGTGCCTTTGTTTAAGGGCATGCAGAGGGGACTCGCTCCCTTAAATAGATGCTAATCTTCAAAAATGAAAAAAACAAAGGCATACTAAGGCAGGGTAATTTCATTTATTTGCTACACTGGAAAATATTTTAAATATAAATAATCTACCAATAAGAAACATAGGTAAGAAAATATCGTTACACACATAATGCAAAAGGGGATATGTAATAGAAGGACAAAGCCCAAACGTCTGCTATGCTCACAGGCACACGAGACAATCAAGAGGTAAGAATGAAAAAAAATCAAAGGATAATTAAGAGGATATGCGCACATAAATGGATGAGCATGTGTATGTTTGCAAAGAAACCTTCTGTGAAGACATTCCCCACTACTCATCGCCCACAGCCCGCAGCCCACCGCCCTCAGCCCACCGCGCCTCACCTGAGCCACCAGCCAGCCACAGGTCGGTTCTCTGCGCAGCTGCGGACCCCTGGCATCCTCACTTCCTGTTAGGCAGTTCTCAGCCAGTGGACGCCAGGTGGCGTTCTGAGCTGGCTGGTCTAAATTTTCTGATTCGTGCATTTCACCTCTGCAGTCACCTGCAAAATGACTGAAGATACAGAAACCTGCACTCGGGGTGGTGTTTGGGGTTCTCAGCGGTGGAGAAAGGGAGGCTAATAGGAGCATCCAAGTCCCTGAATCTACCTGTCCACTGGTTTGGGGGCCTTCTCTGCCCCTCTGTGCTCTAGCTTTTCCTGAAACACAGCCCCACCTGGTAATGCCCAGGGACCTCCCCCATGGGAAGGGACCATCTTCTCTGATTCTGTCTTCCTGACAAGCAGACCTCATGGGCTGGGAAATCATTAAAAGGAACAAGGCTCAAGTACTCAAAATCCCTCCACACAATCCGTTTTTCTGTTAGCCGTCCCTGTTTTCTTCCTGCCCTGCCCTCTCTCACTTGCCCAATTCCACCATGGTCTGCCCTTCCTGCTCCTGCCATCCTCACACATTACTGATCCCAGTGGGCCTTCCAATCCACTGCCCTCTTCTCATGCTCTGGCCTGTGCCATGGACACAATTTTTTTTCTTCTTCTCCTTTCCCTCACCTGTTTGTCTGACTCCCTGCTCCTCACTATGCAGAATCTGCTCATTGTTCCTCTTTCTAGAGGCCATCCTTGTCCAACCCACTTAGATCTGATGTCTGACCTCTGAGTTTCCAAGGGAAGCTCTTTCACTTACAGTTTAGTCTTCTAAATTTTTTTTGAGTCACCATGGAACTGAAATATCAGAGAATATGAAAAGTTTTTCCACATTGTTTCCCTGTGAGCCCCACACTCGCAGTGGACAAAGAGCAACAAAGATTCTCTGTTATGTTGAATTTCGCTAATTAGTGAATCTCTCAAACTTTTCACCTATATTCTTGCTTATTTATCAATAAACTCCAATTCTTTTTCAATGCAAAGAGGACTTGAACTTAAAGATTGTCATGAATGTTTGACATTTCTATCCTCAGGACAGACTATGAGCCCTGACTCCCCTCAGTCTCTGCACCAGCTCCCCTCCCCCAATTCTCAACCCATTGGACAAATTCTCTAGTGGACCATGCTGCTTCAGCTTCATCCCCACCTCTTCTGTCTTTCCTCACAGTGCTGCCCTCCTAGACCAAGGAAAATCTGATTCTCTAGATTCCGCTGTATTAATATGGTTCCCTAGATAAATATTTCCAAACTTTTATTATTTATCCTATTTTATAAATTTTAGTATTTGTGGTTTTCAAATTTCATCACAATTGTTATTTGTATGGTGGAAGCCAGGGCATGATTTTCATATTCTGCATGTGAACGAGCTTTTCCTGAAATATTCTGCTGTCATTTTCTGGTAAGATCACCTGAATCAAAACCTGCAGAATGCATGTCTACAGGAAAGGTGGAAATAACACAGACACTGGTGCACCCTCTCTTATTAAGAAATGTCTCATTGCCATCAGCCCTCATGCCTCAGAGGGTGATGTGTGAAGATATTCATGACTCTGAATTAAAATCTAATTCTGAACAATCAGAATATCAAAATATTTGTGACTACATTTATAAATTAATTTCAATATTGCTTTCATTTTATGTGAATAAAACATATGCCTTTATAACTCTAGAAGGGCTTTTTCCAAAAAGTACAAAATAAGGCTATCATCTATACATTAGTTACACAGAAAATTAATCCCTTCTTTTAGGTCCATCTTAAACCTTTGATTTATTGACATGCAGTGGATGCTGCTCATAAAGACTCCTAAACACATTATGCATTGATCAATTCTTATCTTTCCTTTACTGTTATAAATTCCAGTTCACTTGTTGATCTTTCCATGTGAGTTTTTCACATTGTTTCTTATTCACCTTAATATTTCCAACTAGAAATATACAATCAGCAGTAAGTATTGATGAATAATTCTAGATGGAATGAATGAAGATGCTGCAAAAAAAATAATAGGGATTGCATATGGCTTACTACATATAAAAACAAAAAAAAATGATTGTATTAAACAAGTGTGTACAAGATACTATACATTATCAAGGAAAGACATTGATAAATAAGAGATGTAAAACTATTATGTAAGCCCTACTATTGCCCTAGTTTCATGTTTTAAGAATAATTCCTGGCTATAGTGCGCAAGAATCTTGGAAAACTTCCCGAGTTGAGAAGATAGAACTGAACCCAGAATAACACTGTACAGTTTCTTCAAGCTATTCTCCATGTCCTGTATCAACTGACAACAATCATGCCAGCTCTCATGAGACAGGTTTGCTATTTGACATGATTACTTTACTGAGACACAGATTAGGGAATTATAGAAACAGTTAAAAAAAAAAAAAGAAAAGACACAAAGATAAACCATTTGAATAATAAACTTGGCCCCCCAACATTTTTATCTTATTCCTAACTCATAAAAAATCAGTCCTATTCATACCATGGCTACCTCAGGCATGAGAAACCCAAGGATAAAGGACGAACAATTAGAGATACAGAAAATGATGTGTATAAGTAGATTGAACCACCGATATGGACCCCAATTGCCATTTCTTGTGATTTTTGTTATGAGTAGCTGATAAAATTACATTATTAATGAATTTAAATAGAGCTTTCTATTTATAAGAACAGAAAGCAATTATCATCAAGAGAAGTATTAACCAGTAAGGCTCATCTCCTCTATTTATTTCCCCAGAAAACCTCCAGGTTTCTTTCTTTATATTATTATTATTGATATAGAGTCTCACTCTGGGCACTAGCATCATCATAGCTCACTGCAACCTCAAACTCTTGGGCTCAAATGATCTCATGCCTCAGCCTCCCAAGTAGCTGGAACTACAGACATGAGCAGCCATGCCTGGTTAAATTTTTTATTATTTTTTTATCATTTTGTAGAGACAGGGATCTCACTCTTTTCATGCTGGTCTGGGACTCCTGGCCTCATGTCTTGGCCTCCCAAAGCGCTAGGATTACAGGCATGAGCCGCTGCACCCAGCCCAGTTTCATTTAAACTCAGAAATCATCTTGCCTCTTACTTTCACTATATAAATGCTACAGTTTATGTAGCTGGCATGGAGTATAAGGATTCTCTTTATATGAAGTTATAGTAAGGTAAGTACCAGGTTCCAATTCAATAATAGAGCAAAAATATTTTACCAAGATCTGGCTTTGAAATTCTCTGTATACAATATTGAAACCCAGAGCCTCTGCATGCAGTATTAGTTGGCAAAACAAATGCCAGTCTATTAACTTAGTCTGAAAGTAATCATAAAGTATCAATGTTCTTGCTGTTTGTTGCTAACATTTATTAAATTTTGAACAAATAACTCTAAACCACTTAGAATGATTTTAAGTACACTAGATAGAGGATTTCCTTACTTGCATAGCAGACATATGCTACTGAGTCTCAGAGATCCACCCTGTAGGAATGCATCCTTAGCAAAGAATGTGGTCCTCTCAACACAGCCATGCTGACATTAGGGCACATCACATTGTAGGCCATAAATGAATCCTATTCTGCTTGTTGGAATTCTGAATTGTTTCTGCCCTTTTTTTGCTTTTGTGTCTCTTGATGGTTTCAGGTAAGGGAAGCTATGTTTAACCCAGTCTGAGTAGCCGAGACACTCAACTGTCTATGAAATACGAACAGTTTCAGAGGAGTGTATAAGTTTCAGGCTAATACAATAGACATCAATAGATCAGTTAAATGATAGAAAGGTGGGTAAATTATCAACTAATTCAACAAAAGTGATAATCTATAAGGGTAACAAGCATGAAGGCATTTTGAAATATTATGCTAGTTAATAGGAGAAAGTATATAAAATATTATAATTCCCTTTCTACAAATACCATATTACTGAAATGTTTGTTGCCTAGAGATCCATGTATATGTAGGTGACATTTCTAGGTGACATTTTATTTTTTATTTTATAAAAACTAATATATATATATTCAATAAAAAGTAAGATATATATATATATATATATATATATATAATGGGTCATCTTTTCCAGTAACTATCATGTAGACATTAACAAAAATGAGGTGCAAGAAATCAAGGACTCCAGCCAATATCAATAGTTTTTACTGAAGAAATAAACCAAACAATGGGATGATGTTCATACTTGCACAGTAAGAAAGTATCTGGTCTGTGCTTTCAGAGGAAGTTTTTGGAGAACACTAATAGAGATTGTATACCATCTGACTTTTCTAACAAAAGTGTATTCCCATTCAATTAATGAAACAGTGGTGCATGAAACAATGAAAATAATTGAAAAGATTCTTTGAAAAATGATTATGAATGAATTTTTAAATATAGGCATAAAAGCATTAATATACAATGCAAAATACAAATTGTTTGTAGATGATATTTCTGTGTATCCCCAAAGGTAAATTTATACTTAAGTGTTGAATACATTTTGCATGCCAAAACAAAAAGCAAAAACAAATATTACAAAGCAAGGTCTGAGCAGTTAAGTGTCTTTGGTCAGCAAGCAGAAAGATTGTCGAACAAAGTGGATATTTATACAAAAGAAGAGATTTTCCAACCGACCCCAGAGAGAAGGCAGCCAGCAGCTGGCCTTGCGCATTCAGACTGCACAGAGAGGCTCTGAGCTCAGCTGCAGGAGTTGGCCCCACCCTTGATGGGCGTGGTCCGGAGGTGGAGGGCCTCAAACACTGGGGCATCCCTGCTCCCGAGAGACACATCCAGAAATGTCTGTACAAGTTCCTGCCCTGCTGACTGTTGCTATCAGAGTAGAAAGTTTCCAGGGCTCCACAAAACAGGGAAAGAAAATGAGGAGGTTGAATGAAATTCAGTGAGAATGTACTAAACGAAAATAAAGCGGGAAGTGTTGTGGGAGGATTACTAAGATTCATAAGGATGTTAGAGAGAAAAGCAACAAAAGTAATGTAGTAAAATACTAAACTGTCTTTATTTGAGGTACAGCTGGGAATATCGGTGTAGGTGCAAGATATGCAAATTCTT